TGTAAAGTTTAGGGGACAGGAGGTGAGATATTAATGTCAATATATCACACATCCAAGCATTTCAAAGGTTTAGTTCATCAATATGTGCCGCAACAAAAACTATAGTCACGTAATGTGTGAGAAGGGTGAGTAATAGACCTCCACAGTGTCTGCAAATAGAAGTGGGCTCTGCTTTGCAAGATGCTAGTGGCACCATCTGCTTTATGTGGTTTCACAATCTCTACAGTAAAACACATGATGTGGTTTATTGTGTGCATGTTTGCATCACGCTGTCATGCAGTTATGAGCTCTCATACTGTCCTTCATTTAATTAACCTGTCTCCACCAAACCAAACTTCGACGGGCAGTGGGACCAACGAGAAATGAGCAATAAGTCATATAACATGCTCCTTTGAGGAAAATGACAGTCATGCCCTCCTCCTGGCACGTGTTGCTGTGGGCGGGCAGCGATGAACTGACAGGACGAGGCAAGAGGAGACCGAGCAATGGAGGAGCGTTCACACTCAAGGAGCGAGAAATAGGGTATATGTGACTCAGTGCATCCATGATTCTTGGCTCCTTTTGTTACACAGACACCTTCAGGTGCCGCACGCACGCACGCACGCACGCACGCACGCACACACACACACACACACACACACACATACATCACTTCAGGGGACATTACATTGACTTACCGGTACATGCATTTCCTGGAGACTTATCCTAACCTTAACCTTAACCAACACACGCCTAACCCTAACCAAGTCTTCACCCTAAAATTAATAATTCCCCTTAAGGGAGGCGAGTCCCCACACGTGACTGTGTAAACAGATTTAGGTCCCCACAACTATAGTAATGCTAGGCCACACACACACACACAAGCAAATGTGTGTAAGACAGACAAAAGAAAGAAGGTTTGTGCTGCACTGTTATTGCAATAAATTCACGACGTGGNTATCCTAACCTTAACCTTAACCAACACACGCCTAACCCTAACCAAGTCTTCACCCTAAAATTAATAATTCCCCTTAAGGGAGGCGAGTCCCCACACGTGACTGTGTAAACAGATTTAGGTCCCCACAACTATATTAATGCTAGGCCACACACACACACACACACACACACACACACACACACACACAGTCAGTAACACCTGAGGTGGTCACATGGCCATCCGTCAACATGGCTCTGTGTGCCAGTTCTGTCTCGTTATTGATCCACTTAACTGTTTATTAACACTTGTAAAAACGAAAGGAGGAGAGATCTAAATAGTTATGGCTCTATCGTGAAACAGAAGAAGCTTTGTAATCATTTTCAATTAATCAAGCCTCAGTGACGCTTATGCAAATAATAAGTGTCTATGGGTTTCCTCTATGGCACATGTTGTGGATTATCTAAAACAATGAAAAATATTCATTTACTGAATACAGTCAGATTTTAAAATATGCACTGTTTCTCCTCGTCTCTACACTTTTTATATATATAAAATAAAAAAAGGGTTAGGGTATTGGATGGTAAAACACGCTAATCCTCGGTGAAATTCCATGTATTCTCTTTAACACAGTAAAAACAATATACATTTTGGGACACATTGTTTCTAAAGATGTTGCAGCTAAAGCTCAACTTTCAGTATGGAACAAACACATGTTATTTCTGGCTGTTTGTTTGTGTCAATATATAATGAACTAACTATTTATTTCTAAAACTTTGGAATATTATAATTTCCCAAGCTACATTGCTGGATTACTAATTAATGAGAACCCTTAATTTCTCTAAGTATGTCAGTGGGTTGAAGTCTATAGAAAGATCTGCTGGTTGGTGTTGCAACACATAACACACAGAGGTCGTTATCCTCGCAGTGAAAACAGTGACACACTTTCAGCCAGTATTGCGATTAGATGATGAAACAAAATACGTTTTTTTCGAAATACTTTTTCTCTTAAGGGCAAAAGAAGGACATGGGATAATAAGTAACAACATCTTATTTATAATATAATTCTGAGAACCTGAAACATCACCACCGAAGTGAGGAAGAGGCTACTGGAAGCCTTTTCTCAGTCAACCTGTGCCATGCTACCAGAGTTAGTTTAAAAAGGCTATGGGGAATGTTAAAATGATACATGTGGAATCGTGAAGAAGGTTACGATTAGTGATATGATGTACAGTCAATGTCAGTTCCTATAATCCAGACATCTTCTTGCGGCTTTATAGCTGCTCATTAAGTACCTACAGAAATACAAATCCATCTGTGCACACACACTATCAAGCTGCAGGTTTTATTCAAATCGGATTCATGGCCACATTCATATGCTCACAGTCCCCGCACATAATGTATCCAAAAGGCAGATCACATTTCAAAACCACCTCACATATATGAGACCATAATCTATATCTGCTCCATATGCATTTGTGGGTATATGAAGGCACAGCAGTTTGCATTGGCCCATGGTTACCATAGTAACCTGAGATGGCTTAGCAGAGAGTGCGGTAGGTATTTGCTGTGTAGATGAGGATAAATCACCAATAAGCTCTTTTGGTGCTCCTCTGCCTTTTCTCTTACACACTCTAAAGAGCATTCCCAATCCTTGACCTCAGCCTTCTGTCATCATTAAAGCGGCAGATATCATGCCCTCTGTCATGCTTAGTTTAACATCCAGATGGTGCACAGGTTTAGCTTGCAACAGGCACAAAATGTGTGAAAAGCGCCTGCATCAACCTAAATATTCAGCCGGGGGCGGCAGATAAGAGGAGTGGAGAAAGTCTGACTTCAAATTGATCACCGCCGTGAGAATAATGCGGTAAACATGAGCATAATGTGTGCTGCATGCTAGTGTCAGTCTGCATGATTTCTGGGTAATGCAGCTTGATAGGTTGAGCAGGAGTCAGAGGAGATGGAGTTTGAAATCAAAACCCAAGTTTGTTCACATCTGTCTCCTTGACAGCCGAGGCAGATCTGAGATGTATTGCTTGATCGCTGTGAATCTCTGCTGTCTTTGGAAACAAGACGTATCGTGTTGACAAAATGTATTATACACTATTGAAGACTACAAGAATCCTAAATGTTTTTTTGTTTTGTTTTTTTTATTCTACTAAAATCATACAAAAACAAAAATGTATAATTCATACACACAAATGAACAAAATGAGTAGAAGCGGGAGGGCTGAAGCATAGCTTATGGGGAGTAGCCCTCCCGTGCATCATCATTAGCATCAATATAATAATGGCATTTATTTCGTCAAAAACATATAGAAATTAAGGAGTACAAAGAAACAAAGAAAACTAATGAAAACTGGGAAAAAAAAAAAATAATAATAGTTAGGGCAAGAAAAAAGTAAATGCATATATAAGTAATACTGGGAGAAAATGTGAAAAATAAAACATTTTGCAGCACAGTTCAAACTGTGCCCCATATGGCTGCTGTGAGATGACGGATTTACACACTTGAGTAATTAGTGATAGTGGAGGAAGTTGATTGATTATTTGGCTAGTGCTAGATTACAGACTGTAAATCACTCCTTTCATATGGTGAAAAATGCTTTTTGTATGCCTTTATCCTGAACACTAAGGGCAATGCTTCTTATTTACTAACTGCATTATGTAACAATGTTATATAATAAGTTGAGTACTTACGTTTGAAATGGCTGCGACGTTTATGCTGACTTAACCTGTTTACCTATTAGCTGCCCAATAGAGCGTATAATGGGTAACGGTCCCATACATTAATACATAATACTGCATTGTAAAAGGCCCTGTAATTGCAAACTGTGTAAATTGTAAATGTCCCTTAAATAATTTAAAGGTTGACTCTGATCAGTTACAAGTACAACACACTGAATATTTGGTTTCATTTAATTAAACAATACTAATTAGAAAGGAAAGGAAAGTGGGACTGTAGAGCTGGATTTCTGAGATAGATTCAAATCAAGATTTAGTGAACACAACTAAAGAAATTAGGAGAGGACATTAGGAGAGGAAGCAATCTGTAAAACTACTAAGAGTAAAAACAGAGATATGGATTAGAAAACCTAGATGTCTTTGTTGTTTTTTTAATACACTTGTGGAATTACTTTGTAAAGAAAATACACACCTAAAAAACCTTAAAATAATTTATTGATGTGCTGATGCAAGTTTCAAAACAATCTCAGTCAGTGCTATACCACATTCTAAGAAACTGTAAATCCTCTCTACTGTGAACATTCAGGTTAAATGGGGAGTGACCTCAACATGGAAATGAAAACAGACACATTGATCAATGCAAAGCAACACAACTCCACACATGTAAGAAGTTTGGATGGACACACATAAGCTCCTACTTTATTTCAAACTGTTTCACAACAATCATCAGGAGTGTAAGAAAATATTGATACACATATTGTGTTTTGTGATAATGAATCATTTCTTACAAATAGTTTTCAAAAAATGTGAAAATATTGCAATATATCGCCCTGCTTACAGCTTCTTGCCAACACACAGCCCTAGCTATCATAGTGCCTGATATGTGGGAATGCAGAGGCGCACCACACACATTGACCACACGCAAGAAGGAAATAACAAGGAATTGGTGTAATGACCCTTCAGGTTGGAGTGAGAGAAAGTGTATTTGTGAGGAAATGGAAGAAATGGATGATTTATGACACAGTAGGAATCTGAAATACCACCATGGCGGATTGGTTTCTTCTATGTACACAAGACTAGGCAACTCGTTTCGATTAAACCATGAATCAATCGTTTATCTTGATTTAAAAAAAGACAGTTTCTCTTTAAATGATCAATAAAGTGAAATCCGCGCTGTGTAATGCAGATACTCATTAGAGCTGACCAGAGGCAGCTGATAAACAGACGTACGGCACAGTAAAAGCTATTCCTTAGTGGGAACACATTGGAATTAACTGCTAATGAGAAAACACCTAACACGCAGCTCCACATCCACTAGGATCCAAAGTGAGACCTATCATTCTTCAGCTACACTTTTTTTTTTTATCCTCAGCTCTCATTGTGTGATCTGCAGCATTACTTACCTTCCATTGCATACTTCATATCCAGGGCGAAGAGGCTCCACATGATCTCGGCGCTGGTCTTGCCGGCGTTCAGCTCCTGCGGAAACCTGGTGGAATAGAAGCGGATTCCAATCAGACTCATTTCCCTATAATGACACGCTCCGCTGGGCGGCCTGATGGCTCGGCCCAGCCTGAATCTCTAACAAACCACTCTAACAGATGTGCATCGAGACATGGTTGGGGAATCCCATAATCTAATAATCCCCCCCGTTATTTGAAAACCTGGTTGAATTTGGGAGAGATGGAGATGCATGCAAGATTGGAAAAAGTGTAAGAGGAAGAGACAAAGCATAAGAAAAGGGAGAGCGAGGGAAAGGGCGGCAACCTATCTGCAAAGTAATCTGCTATTTTGAATGCATATGGATTTTTTCAGTCAACGTTTAAATGTGAGGTGTCAATGGTTTAATTATCCGTATCCTCAAACAGTGATGGGAGGACATTTAAAGATGACAGGGCACGGCCTGAGAGAGGTGATTATCTGGAAGTGTTTTACTTTTGCCAGAGACCATTCTGTGTACAACAAGATATCATATTCAACCGACAATCTTTTAAATGAAACTGTGATCATCTGCTTAGACTGGACAAAAAGTAGAATGTCAAAGCATGCCTGCAAACACACACACACACACACACACACACACACACACACACACACACACACACACACACACACACACACACACACACACACACACACACACACTTCTCTCCTCCCCAATCTTTGGCACATCCAGGAAAGGAAGATACCCATTGGCAATAATTGGACAGAAAAAAAGAATCTCCAGAAACAATTGCTCCCCCTTTCATCTCTATCACTCTCAAAATATTTTTCTTAACTTCTGTGATTTTCCGTTGTCATCTTCCACACACACATAGTGCGCTGTGGGTGGGGGAGAGACACATCATAATAGCAGAAATGTAACATCTGCAGCTATTGTTTACATCAGCCTGATGAGTATTCATGAGAGTAATCTCTAAAGCTTCTTATCCTTTACATTTCAAAGAACAACTGCAGCATCCAATTGTATATTTCTAACCAGAAAAACAAATTCTGTAGATCGGTCTATTGTCTAGAAGATATCTAGGCTACAGTCCCAAGTAAACATCCTCATGGTCAGGGAAACAGAGTCACATATGAACCGTTTTCCCTCGGGCAGCAGCTCCCATTATTTAAAGGCAGCAAGTCCACTCCTGGGTTTATTGGGAAAAGGCAAAGGAAATGGTGTCACTCTGTAACTTGACCAGGGGAATGTGGAGGAAATGGGCATGAATATTGCAAATCTATCATTAGACAGTGTAGGAGAGAAGGCTCAGGGCATAAACAGAGTGTTAATAAGCATCGTAAATCGAGAGGAAGGAGAAAAAGAGGCGAGAATGAGGGGATGTATGTGTGAGCGAGACGAAAAGAGAATAATATGTTTCATCTTATTTCTTCTAATGTGAGCTCCACAAGGAAGGAAGCAAACACAAACACCTCCTCAACACCACCACCGACACAACCAGACCTGTATCCCCCTTTTCTAAAAAACAAATCCTTCATCTGTTATATAACTCCGCAACACAGCAATCCCATTTTATCCACCCATATTATGGCTCACCATAAAACAAAGCATTCCTTACGGTTGGCTTCTCTGGCTGCCTCACAGCCTTATTGCGCAACACTGTGCTCATTCATGTCTCCACAAGCAGTAAATACTTTTTCTTTTTTTTTAAATCTGCAGGGATGGTTTTTCTTTGTTTTCCTTCAAGCTCGATTTGCCTTTAACTCAACCAAATAAATACAGAAATACAGTATGGAATAAATATTGAACAAATCAGTGCATATTTGATCAATTGAGCCTTGTTAAAGGCACACACATTTTGTATTTATTCATTTTAAGAGTATTTCCACATCAAACACTTTTACACTGATACTTCCTTTCAAACCTTCTTTCAAGCCAAACAAATCATTGAGCATTTTGTCACGAATGGTTGAGATTAAACCCTATGAAATGAAGCTTAAGAGCGAGCAGTGAAAACTCAGCCTGCATTTTAGGAGAGTTTTCAGTAAGGTCATTTATACGTCTGAATTTAAAGGTGACCCATCATGCAAAATGCACTTTTGTACGTCTTGTATACATGAATATGTGTCCCCGGTGTTCCAGGGAACTCACCAAGTGTCAGAAAACACAACCCTCTCTATTTTCCTCCATACCCAAATCTCTTAAAAAGGGGCTGCAACGGATCTGATACAGACTGATCCAGATTTGAACACTTCTGTGACGTCACAGAAGTGGCGCTACGGCTATTGGGCCAACTCCACCAATCAGGAGGAGACAGCCACGGACATTGCCGTTGGAAAGAGCTGGAGACGCTGTAGTACATATGCCAGGCCTGTAGATGGTGCTGTTCTCACAGAATCAGCCCATGCAAAGACAGTGTTCAATTGAGCGAAATGAGGAATGGCTAAAATGCATGATCTGTTTGGTATTTTGAAAAATAAAAAGTATAAATATGCCTTTATATAGATATGGTCCTACATTAAAATATAGCATGATAGGTCCACTTTAAATAGAGGATAAATGGTGATATGTAAATACTAGTTAACACGATGATCAGCAATGCATGAGTAATGAGAAAAACCAAACAGCTTACGACCATAACCTGGCATAGTAACGAATGAAGTGCTCATTGCTTGATGAGAAGCATAGTAAAGGAGTACATACTGGTTAATGACTGGGGTGTAAGCTGTCCGGTCCTCATCGATCACAGACACCATGAGAGTGATGAGTTTTGGCCAGAAGTCCAGGTTCTTTATAGACGGACCCTGCTCCTCTCGGGGGATGTCCTGCTTCCGGCTCTGCAGAGGAGAAAAGAAAGATGGTGGGAGACTGAAAACTGTTTTGAAATATTGTCTTCAGTGTTATGGTAAATGTCTGCTTCCTTGTTTCTTACTGGCATTGCCAATGGAGTTGCTGTAATGCTAAATACACGTCATACTTGATCAGACAATAAAGTAGCATCATATCATAATGTGTTGCAGATATGAGACCATTAACATTTTAGGATTCAGCTAAAATATTAAGGGATCAAAAAGAGGAAGCCAGACAAATAGTAACATACTTTTTAACACTTAAATATATATTGCATATCATTATATTATCTCTGTAAGATGTCTTTATGAAAGTGATAATGTACTTGCAGTTCATTTAAACTGAACTGAATAAGTTAGTGTTATGTTAGATGTTGACAGTGAAAGGACAATAAAAAAAATAAGCCTTAATCATAAAACCAGATTACAAATGTTATTTCATGAAATCAAAGCAGTTTTTTTAATCCTTATCTTAATTGATCATAGATTTAGATTATGTGAAGATCAAATGCATTAATATGAATGTGTTAGTATTGGAAGCTTCCATTCCCTCATTAGATTAAAAGGACTGCTACTTATAAGTGATACACAGAGAATACAAAGTGCATGTAATCGAGCATTACCATTTAGAGTTTTATTTTATTTTTGTTTTATAGAGTAACAGAAAAAGAAAGAGCAGACACAGGGAGCCATCTGAAAAGCTTTCCGCAACAATGTGAGTTTGTTTAACTGTACCGGAACAGATTCACCCAAAACAACAGCATTTACCAGGACTGAAATGTTGAGCATTTCACTTTGAAAAGTGTAATCATCCATCAGTAGTGTGTTTGTGTTTGTGTTTGTGTGCATCAAAGTGTGAGGCAGACATCTCCGTGGCTGTCCTGGGGTGATGGGTGTTAAATATGAAATCTTTCTCTGACCCTGCCATCTGTTCACCCCACACTGAGTGTAACCATACTGATCTGCAGCCAGCAAGTTACTGTCACAGTGTCTCGCTCTGACACTAACAGGTTCTACAGAACACAGGCTAGGCCGTGCACACACACAACACAGAGCTTACTGGCAGCTCTGTTTCACACACACACACACACACACACACACACACACACACACACACACACACACACACACACACACACACACACACACACACACACACACAGACAGACAGACAGATAAAAATGAGAAAATGTGTATTGCATTCTCTTGGGAGGCTGTGTACCCACAGTCCACTGTCATAGGTTATAATGTGATCTACATACCCTCTTTGACAAACCCTCCCAAGAGGAAGCAATACAAATTTTCTCATTTGTGTATGGAAGTCTAAAGCAAAATGTTTACTTGATGAATGCTGGTAAAAGGAAATTGTGTTAAAAATGAAACATGTTCCAATCAGTTATTGAATAATTTAGGTTGAATTATTTAACAACCTATTGACTTTATTGCAGCACTGAGAGCAGACGCTGTAGCGAGAGCTTGAGATATTGAAATGCAACACGCCTCAATTTACCATTGATTCAACCCTTAAAACCTAGTCAGTTCCTACGATGATCAACTTGTATCAGATGACGTTGATTGTAGTCTTAAATATCCTGTGATGCAAGGCACACATTGCAGCTGGAAGAACGACACAATCTAATCTCACTGCAACAAGAAAGTTAGATTATATATTATTTTTTTTGTGTTTCTCTTAGTATCCTAAAATACTGTTATGTTTGGCTGTGAAAAAAATTATTATGAAGGGCAGACCATCTATTTGTATTTATTTTGTTTTTTTTAGAAAGGGACAGGTCACATAAGATTGTATTCTTCTCCCTGCTCCTTTTCGCTCAATGGTGTTTTGGTAGAGTCATGTTTTCTTGGCAATTATTGTACATTTGGTTTTGCGTACCATGAGCGGGACAAATAAAAATGAAATGAAATGAAAGACAAATACAGCGTACAGCTGATTCTGCGACAGTAGATTGTGTGAGCCCAGGGTTCACTGCTTTAATCATTTGGGTTTGCAAAAGTAAAATCCATCCTCGTGTCTGCCATCGACAGGAAAACAGATTAATAACATGGGCGGTTCCATCCCGGACATCATATTGATCAGAGCTCATGAATTAGTCATTTGCATATTCCCATGCTTGCTCTGTATCAACACATGAAACATGAACCAGTTTCCAACGTGGAGGCAAAAGGGAGCTCCATATGTAACGTATAGTCAAAGGCCGTGTTGGGAATTTAAGCTGAACGCATGTTAACCTTGATTGAGTAAACATCTACAGTACAGTATGCATTAGTAAAACTGGTATAGAAACACAAGTAAGTGTGATCATAAATTAAGGCAAGCATCACTAGAGATTGATCTGCTTGCTCCATCAATCACACCATTCAAAACATTGAGAGGTTAACAAGTGTCTTGTAAAAAGCAAATGAGCGATTTATGAGTTAAGATCAATTAAATAATCAATATCGGCGCTGAACTCATCGCTAATGAAATGACGATGCTTACTTGGAAGGAGAGGTACATCAAGGGGAGATATGCTAATAAATGCAACAAGGTACATTTCTGGTTAATTGGAGCCATGTGATAATAAAACAAATATCCCTGCAGGAGGTCACTTGGCTATGCAAAAAGCTGTCGATGGGTGTATCCTTGTGCGTGTGCGCGTGCATGGCTGTATGCATATGAAGGACATTGAAGGTTGTGTCATCCCTACTAAATTGAAAGCGATATGCAGCGAGCTAAAATGTAGCGTAGGCTCCCATAGCTCATCTGTATTCACCTCAAGTAGGTACACACACATTGTTAAAGGTGATTAAGTGTCTTGCTGTCTTTTTACAGCCCACAACATACCCATGGGTTTCACTCTCACTTGTACTAGGAGGTGAATACTGTCCTGAACTCACTACTCCCAGTGAATGGTGGTGGAGGGGGGGACTAGCAGAAATATTCATAGAAACGCATCACTCCTCTAGAGGGTAGCTAGTGCTTTATGGTTATTGTTTAGCACTTGCAGTCCCTGTGTGGGAGAAATCAGCATTACCATACAACTGGCTCATCAATTCTCACAATGTGACACAAATCTCTGATTGAAGGATGTTCTTGGAGAATGGAAAAACCCCCAAGAGAAAAGAGCTGAAGCTGTATTTAAAGGCCCAGAGATAAAAAGGTTGTTTGTTCAAGAATTGTATGAAAGGATATACTCAAAGGCACATATTCTGAAGACGAACAGCATGCTCTTCAAACACAGTCATCAACCAGCTGGGTATTGTGCTCAAATATGTGATCATGGCGATAAAGAGGGAAACTTATCAAATCAATTGGAATTGCCTGCTCAGTAACAAGTGGAGGAGTAGCTCCTCTCACAAAGTAGACCCCTTCTTCTGCATACCTGTCAACAAACAGCAGCCTCCCTCTTCATAACCAGACTGCTTCTATTCATCTGCCTACTTAAGCATGGGCATTTGCATAATGCATAATGCATTCATGTGTGCATATACATGAGCATTTTTCATAGACGCAAGTGCAAGCTACTTAGCATTTCTGGTTTGTGAACTATCCTTGCAAATCCACATTCATTCACAGGGTATTTCCCCTTAGTCTTGCTCTTTTTCTGCCAAAATGTAGGAAACTGTTAAGCTACATTCCCCTCACCCCTCCTTCCCTCATCCACTTGACGAACAGACCGAAGCAGAGAGCTGTATTATGTCATGCAATATGCCTCTTATTGGCTGGGATATTTCCCTGCCTGCCTGACCATCGTGTCAGTGATTGTGTCGCCGCACTCAGTCATTGTTAGCGACCGGAGAATTGGGGTGTGAATTGTTTTCTAACCGCTGAGTCAAAGGCTACCTAGTGTATGTGAACATAATCATTTGAATTCACAGTGAGATTTGCTTTAGGGGGAAGCTGATGTCTTTTTCTTCTGCCGTGTAGGAAACATTGATGGAGAGGCTGCCAGTTGTGGAACTGTGGTGGACGACGATGTAATTAGTGAAACGGTCTATCTCTCCTGGTTTGGTAATTGCTTACAAACCTTCAGGCTGTTTGAACAAAGGAAGCTTATTATTCAACTTTTGAGCGGGCTGCACCCATTATCTTAAAGACATTATATTCGGAGGTGGGGAGGCCATTCTCCTTGGGAAGTAAATATTAAGGTGGGACCGCCTGTTGCCTGCTTATTTAACCCGAAAAGGCCAAAGCATGTAAACTCAATCCCATAGAAATGTCAATGTGTTCAGAGAAGCGTGCCCTTACTTAAGAGTGGGTGATGCCATGTTTCATGAAAATGTAATTAAGTGAGTTCTTTATCTGGAAACATGCCTCAAGCTGCTCGTGGTATGCAAGTGATACATTATCACATGAGGAAGCAGTATGGCAGAATACTCTCATGCTAGTTTATTTATATCGTCCATGTTCCAACTTGTTTTTTTTGCTCATTTATTATCCATCTGGAGCCAAAATAGATGTAAAAAGCCTGATGATGATGTGATCTCTTTCTTGGATGGTTGAAACTTTAAGTTAACAATAAACACTTTTAATGTTTTGCTTTTACAGCAATAGAGTCTAATTGATGCCAGTTATGCTTGAATATCTTATATAATATAAGATTTTATGTCAGCACAAAATGTAACAAATGGTTGTTTACCTGGATTTTCAGGAGAGGCCCTGAAGTAATAACTATATTCAATATTAATTACTTTTAAAATCTGCCAGTAATTAAAGGCAGCCTTTGGGGTTTTTAGGTATTCTGCTACATTCTTTAGGTAGCCTACATCACCAAGCTTAAACATTTCTTTGTTTGCAGTGGATCACATCAGTCCGGTTCTGAAGTCTTTACACTGGCTTCCAGTCGATCAAAGAATTGATTTTAAAATACTATTGCTAGTTTTTAAATCACTAAATGGCTCAGGACCGAGGTATATAAACAATCTCCTGCATAACTATGAACCGTCCAGGAGTCTCAGGTCCTCTGGGTCGGGTCTGCTCTCTGTTCCAAGAATAAGAACTAAACATGGAAAAGCAGCGTTTAAGTATTAAGACCCGACAATCTGGAACAAACTGCCCGAATCGTGCACGTCCGCTGAAACACTTCCTATTTTCAAATCCAGACTCAAAACATATCTATTTGCCGCTGCTTTTAATTAGCTGTTCATACTCACACTGCAGTACGCCTTCTATTCATGTATTCTGTACCTGCTGTGTTTATTTCTTTATTTCATTATCTTTGCTTTTTTATGCCTGTTTTTAAATGCCATTTAATTCTTAAATGTCTTTTGTTTTTATTTTGTAAACCACTTTGAATTGTCGCGTCCTGAAAGGTGCTATATAAATACAATTGCCTTGCCTTGCAGCAGGTAGGTTTTTCATAAAGACCCATTAGGAGTCAGTTATCTAGTTAGCGTTGCCCATCAGCTTGGCTAATCACCAGATGCTGAGATGCTAGTTTGTAGATTAAATGTGAATACATAAATCAGCAGAGCAGATATGCTGTCAGCTGCCTTCATTACAGTAAGCTTGATTAAACTCTATTTTTACACTGATATTTGCATTTTCTGTAAGTGCTAGATGTATGCTTCTGTTGTTTAATGTTTATCGGCACACTGGATAGCCAAAGACTTATTTTCACTTTCCATCGTAATTCTCTTGTATTGCTGTCTTGCTCAGCAGCATACCGACAATAAAGCGTGTTGTTGTTGTTATCTTACTAAAACATTCAGAACATAAAACCAAACAAACTTTACAATAACAATAAACAGAAAGGCCTATATCTTATTATTCTGAACCATCCATAAAATAACAAATCCTCTTGTTAGAAATAACGTTGTTTTGGTAACAGCTTGTAGATTGTTTTTGCTTTGGATGGGACAGTAGTGGGTTGGGTTATGGCTTTCAAGCCCAGGGAAGCAACAAAAACATCAACCATAACAACAATAAACAAAATAACACTAAAGCTGAACAAGCGAAACACAAATCCCATACTAAAAAACGACTTTTACAAAACAGTCAGCACTGATCAACTCAAAAGAGCTGAAAGAAGTGACACACACGTACTATTGCAAAATGGTGGTTATAAATCAGTCACTATTGTATATGTATACTATAACTGCCAAAGGCATGCTGGGGCAGCTCCCTCTCTGCTTGTGTTAGCCTTTGCACCCAAATGTTTACTTCACTAGTGCTAGGGGATGCAACTATGGTGCGGGCATGGCTGGTGTATTACAAATGTCAATACTGGAGACCGAGCCATTGAACCATTCACAACAGGCAGGTTTTGCATGGCGAGTGCACAAGCGGCAACTAAGTCCAAGAGAATACTCATTGAGTATTGAGGTAAACAATTTTTTTTTTTTTATTCGTGCATCATTACATCTGCAAGAGTTAGTGTAAAGAAATCAAAGCTCTAAATTAGCACAATAACTATCTATTGTTAGACAATTGATTTTCCCAGAAATCATTTTGATGAATTATATTATAGTCATTTTGAGTCCACTTATATAATAAGTATATATTTTAAATTAGTACATTATTTTAAAGAGCAATATACTTCAACTTCTTAGAAACATTTAGATATTGGAATTTGGAATTGGTAAAAGACCCCACAATCAAAACAATAACTAAAATGGACTCAACCAAAATATGCAATGCCTAAGTTATATCATGCTAAGGAAATCCCTGCTGTCACTCTGGCATGATGCTGGCAAAATGTTGTTGACATTCGTATGTCAACAAGCAATCACGTAAACACCACGGGCAATATCGAAGTCAGCAACAATTATGAAAAGGCATATCCATATGTTGTTCAACAAGTCGTTAATGTCATTATTTTTCACAGGTCTAATGTCAAGATTTGGCAGTGAATCACCAAGCACAACTAGATACGTGGATGAGCCTGAATCAATTGATAAGCAGTGGAAGTGAAAATGATCTGAAAGCTGTTTACCTGGTCAAGGAGTTGGTTGTAGAGTTCATGACAGTTATCAAAAATGTATTTGTATGTAGAGTCCAGACACGCCTTCACGCAGTCCTTCACCACCATGCTGGCTCTGGGTGGACTCTGGAGCTCTTGAACCTGCACACACACACACACAAACACACACACACACGAGCAAATACACACACATGATTTAAATGTTTTTCAGTATCAAAGCAGATGATATTCAAATGACCCAGTAACTATAGATGATGTATGCAACCCATATCAATGACATTTACTGTCTTGAATACATTTTTATGTTCTTTCATCAGTGAAGTGATAAAGTAATTATATCAGATTACACGTACGTGAAACATTATCGCTTCCTTGTGGAAAAAGGGCAACCTTCTTACCTCCATTATGTATATCATAATTGACATGTGGCCAGGCATTTAGGTGTGTGTGCAGTATAGTCACACTGTAGCTCCGGTGTGTGAGCAGCTGTGCGTATACACGGTGAAGTTCAGCATGGCAGAGAGTGAAAGCATTGGTAACCTAAAGTGACAGATTTCATTCCTTTGCTCATAGCTGCCATCTTAGCTATGCCTCGGTGAACTAGCACTAACCCCCACTCCAGGCAAAAGAGAGCTGAATAGAGCCAAGCTCTTCCTATAGCAGTCAAGACGTAGTGATGGGGGAGAGGGAGAGGGGCAGGAGACAGGAGAGAGCTGGAAGCGTTATGAACCAAGAGGCTTCCAGCAGTATGCAGGTCAACACACGTTACACAAACATGACCCCACCAGCCTGAAGTCAAGAAATTGTGACAGGTTTCCAGGAATTATGATTTGGAATCGATTTGGCCTAAACGAAAGGTGCCTAAAATCAATCAGAGTTTATGTTTATGACTTCATTCCGTCAGATTTCACAGCCATGACGAGGGCTGAAAGTGCCGTTTTCGCTTATTCAGGGGGCTGTGTTTCCCATACATTGATTTATTTGTGGTGGGCCGCCACAATTAAATATCGTCCGCCACAAATGGATCTCATAAAAAAAAAATATATATATTATTATTATTCTTTTATTTTATTTTTATTATTTTTTATTATTTTTTTGGGTTGGTCTAATGGATAGTGAGGTGGGCTGATGATCGGAAGGTGGCGAGTTCAAATCCTGCGTGGAACACCACTACTAGTGTGCCCTTGAGCAAGGCACTTAGCCCTCGGTTACTCCAGGGAGAATGTCCCTGTAATTGGTCATTGTATGTCGCTTTGGAATAAGGCATCTGCTAAATTATATTTTTGGGAGAATAAATCCCAAAGATCCTCAACAGTTTCACTCATTAACAACGCAACACAGAGCAANCAGTGGGCGTGTCTTGAGCTTGGGGAGTTTACACGAGCAACGCGACCAACAACCAATCACATGAATCTCTCCTGTCAATTGCATAAAAGGTTTTACATGTCACACTTTATATGATGAACATTTATGACATTAATGTCTATGGTGCTATTTTACGCAACATTCCATGCTGGCTAAATACTGTCTATGCCTGCTAGCTGTCCATTCAAACGAAGTACACTGGATATAAACTCCCCAAACAGGTGAAAACCTACCAGTTTCACCCACTGTCTCTGCCACCTCCCTCCATGTCTGGCTCCTCCGATTTGTATACCGGTAGGTAAAGAGGGACTGGTCATAAAGCACCGGGTGATTCCCTACCGCTACGATTATTTTCTCCTCCAGTTTTTGGCATACGAGGACATGAACTCTGGCTCTCCCAGCATACACGCGGTTTGATTGGCTAGCGCTTGTACTGGCAGATTTGCACAAGCGGGATTTGATTGGCTGACGCCTCCGTCGAAGCTTCAAAAGTAGAACATTGCTCTACTTTTGCAGCGAGCACCGCGAGAAAAGCTACGCTTTGCTCCCACAATGCAGCTCGGCGAAGCGTGACGTCACCCCATTTAAAGTGAATGGACAGAAGCGTTGAAGAGTCAACGCACACCGTCGTGTGTAGGGGCCGTTACAGAGAAGCAGTGAGATAAAAAATGTTGCCTGTTTTTTAGGGAGTGCTCACACGCACAAGATTCTTTTAAAGTCAGTTGATAGAAGGCCTTGAAAATCAATGTGTGGTGGTTAAATTTCCCCTGGGTGGTGCAGGGGGATGATGCTCATCAAGTAAGTAACCACCACAGGCCCTAGATACCATAGAATTACTCTGAGAAAATGAGAACTCCACCAACTGTGCATACAGCCCAAATGGGAAGCAGTAATGACTACGCAGAGGGAAAGTTTGACCCCCACTGCATTTCTGGCCTGCAGGGTTTCCAACTATGAAACTTATTGGGATGCCATGAGAGTAAAATGAAGTGCAAGGGTGCATATTCCAAGTTTTGGCAGTGGCTGAAGCTTAGATGTTTTAGCCTTTTTAACGAAATGGCGCTTTATTCATACATTTCCGCACAAAAATTGCAATCATATTGGTTTTTGCGAGACCTGAAACAGTTTGTTCAGTTGAATGCTGCTCTTTCTCTGTGGTGTCTCTTTCCTTTATCTTCCTTGATGTCCGCCTGACTGTCCGCCCTCCTCTCTTTCTTTCCTCCCTGTCCAGTCCGGTCTGTACTGGATAAATGAAAAGCCTCAAGATAAACATTAAAGTAGTGTGAGCTTGACAAGAAAATAAGAGTCATCCATCAAAGGGCTTTGGCTACTTACAGAACATGTCAAAGAACCCACAACCCCTGGCTCCCCCGACTCTCTTCAATTTAGGACACCGAACTGGAACACTTTGCCATCAGGCAGGCAACAAGCTGAGATAGAGAGCAGAAAAAGGTCTCCAATGTTGTTTTTTGTTAACATTGCTGCCCGGTTCCTGGAGAGTGTTTCACCTTTTAGGGAGAAGGTAGAAGAGAAAGTCTTCATCTCAGGCCTCTGGAATCTGCACCATTCTTCTTACTCCAGGTTTTCCCTGAGATACTGTATCTGACATCAGAGTTTGTCATTTTATTTTCAAAGCAGGAGCATGATGCTTAATTTTGCTTGCACGGGTGAATGGAAAAAGGTGAGTAACATCAGTTGTTGTCCATTCTTTTGTCATAGATAAGCCAATGTTTATGCAGATGTTTCCTTCCTGCTAATGCACACCCCTGTCCTGATAAAATGTCACTTGAATGAGACCTTTTGCTTGGTTATAGTCATTATTTCTACTGTATAAAGCTACAATATACTTCATACTGCTGGACTTGGAATAAAACATGTATTGTTGAGTAAGAATGATTGATGCTGTATATTATGCTTAGCTACTTTTTAGTTTAGTCTGATATGAGGGGATCAAGGAGGAAGACTTTTACCCAAGTCACATTCATTAATCATTTAATTTAAGTAAAGTCTTTATCATGAGGAAGTGTCAAGGCAGTCACATACTGTAATGAGCATGCAGCTTTAGTAACCAGGAAGCTTCAGAAAAATCAATCAGAAAGGGATTTTAAGGGATTGTAAAAGGAAAATCAGTTGGTCCGCAGCGTGGGCACTAAACATTTTAACAATTTATATTATTGACAAGACATTTTATTTTTATTTTAGGTGGATACAAAAACTTGCAAGACAAGCATTAAACTTCTTATTGTTTTTTACATTTTAGTTTTTTCTTAGGGCTTTTTTAATATTGCATTTAAAAATGTCCATAAAAATTGTTAGAATTACACCTATCAAATATCTTTTGCACATTTTATCTTGAGATATTTAAATCTGAACCACAAGCAGTTAATGTTAGCAGTTTAACCATTTTGTAATATCGCTAAAACTCAAGCCTTACAGTAAGCAGGGCAGGTAAGGCCACTGTCCAAGCATAATAACCAGAAGAGAAAGGGTAGAAGATAGGCCAAGACCAAGCAGAGGATTGATAACGACAAGAACACAGAAACAGATGTAACAGTTGAACCCAGAAGGCTGTCGGATGTACCATGGTTACAGGCAAAATAGGCAGGTTTCGCAACAGGGAAACAATCAAGTGCTTGAGAGTCTTGCATAAGTGGCGCACAACAATCTGACAATGGGTGGCTGACATGAGAGGTTATACACCGGCTTGATTGAAGATGAGATGCAGCTGGGAGACCAGGTGAGCTGATGAGGTGGAGGAGGGGGTGAGTGGAGTACTGAGACAATGTGATGGAAAAGACATTACATTGCATTTAGATGACGCTTTTATCCAAAGCGACTTACAATAAGTGCGTTCGACCAACAAAGTACAAACTTGAAGAAAACAGAATAATATAAGTACATCAGGTTTCATAGAGCTAAAACATTTCAAGTGCTACTCAACTGGCTTTAGATAAGCCAGTCCTTTATTAGGATATAAGTGCTTTGTTAATAGTTCTATCGCTCGAAGTGGAGTCGAAAGAGATGTGTTTTCAGTCTGCGCCGGAAGATGTGTAAGCTATCTGCTGTCCTGATGTCAATGGGGAGCTCATTCCACCCTTTTGGAGCCAGGATAGCAAACCCACGTGTTTTTGCTGATGGGAACTTGGGTCCCCCCTCGCAGTGCAGCAAGCTGTTTGGCTGATGCAGAACGGAGTGCACGTGCTGGGGTGTACGGTTTAACCATGTCCTGGATGTAGGAAGGGCCAGATCCATTCGCAGCATGGTACGCAAGTACCAGTGTCTTGAAGTGGATTCTAGCAGTTACCGGAAGCCAGTGAAGGGAGCGAAGGAGCGGCGGGGTGTGGGAACATTTAGGAAGGTTGAAGACCAGACGAGCCGCTGCATTCTGGATGAGCTGCAGAGGTCGGATGACACATGCAGGTAGACCAGCCAGGAAGGAGTTGCATTAATCTAGGCGAGAGATGACGAAAGCCTGGACCAGAACCTGCGTCGCTTTCTGGGTGAGCTGGGGACGTATTCTCCTGATGTTTTAAAGGGTGTATCTGCAGCAGCGGGTTGTAGCAGCGATGTTTGCAGTGAAGGACAGTTTGTTATCTAGGGTCACACCCAGATTCCTTGCAGTCTGAGTCGGGGAAACAATCGAGGTGCCGATGTTGATTGTTAGGTCAAGAGTGGGACAATCTTTTCCCGGAAGGAAAAGCAGTTCAGTCTTGTCAAGGTTGAGCTTCAGGTGGTGAGCAGACATCCACTGAGAGATGTCAGCTAGACAAGCAGA